GGCCGGGAGCTCGCGCGTGCGTCGGGAAACCGCGTCCGGCGGGAGGCGCGGTGCCGGCGTGCCCCGTTCCGCCCTCCCGAGGGCGCGGTCGCAGAGCCCCCTAGAGTCCGCGTTCCCCGCTGCTCTGCTTTCCGCGCACCTTTGCGCTCGGCGTCGCGTGTGGGCCGAGCCTGGCGAGAGTGCACCAGACAGCCTGTTCATCTCTCCTGACTGCCCCGCGTAACCTACTAACCCCAGCCAGGCCCTTGCCCTTATTGCTGGCTGGGACCTGGAAATTACAAACCCTAGTATTTCCCAAGCGCCTGTATCTGCGCCTGTTGTATGCGGTTTGCCTGCGGGGAACGCTGTTCAAAGCTTCCCAGCGCTCTTTCTCCTGCATTTTTTTCTGAAATGTGAGACTTACACAACTTGCCCTTAATTAAGACCCTGGCTAGGTCTACTCCTGTCTTACACAGGGCCTTCTGACACGCTCATTATCCAGATGACCTAATCACTGGTCAGTGCTCACACTGCTGTTAAACTCATCCTCCGTTCCATCATTGTTTGGTTTGGTTTGGTTTGGTCATACTGGGGAATTGAACCCAGGACCTTTGTATTGACCTACATTTTTATAAATTTTGAAACAGAAGTGGCACACGCCTGTAGTCCTGGCACTCAGGAGGCTGAGGCAGGAGGATCATTGCAAGTTCAAGGCCCGCCTGCACTGCATCGTGAGACCCTGTCTCAAAAAGCCAAATAAATAAATAAATACATAAATTTTGAAACAGAGACTCAGTCACTAAGTTACTCAGGAAGATAGTGAACTTGCCGTCCTCCTACCTAAGCCTCCCGGAGTGCTTTAATTGCAGGTATTGCATTAATTTTGGGGGAATTACTACATCCCCATCATTATGCTGGGTGCAAGGCAACAAACAAGAAGCAGGCCTTAGCATCAGTGTAGAGAGGTAATGTGGGGATTTATACAAATCAGCATATCGATACAGTTGATAAGACAAACGTGTAAGTAAAGCAGTCTATAAGATCTGTTAAACTGTTACATACCCCTTGCTGGCTGACCTTGCACTCTCGAGCTGCTTGAAGTTCCTCAACAATTTATGAACTCCTAAGCAACCCCGTGATGGTCAATGTCATTCTCAATTTGCTTGCCTTACGGATGCCGAGGAGATTAGTAAAGCACAGTTCTGTGTGTGTCCGGGTGGGCCACGGGGACATGACCTTGGGGACTGTGTCTGGCTCTTCCTCTGCTTCCTTGATACCGTGAATTGAGCAGCTTTCCTGTTCCCTTTCACCTTGATGCTTCTGCCTTGGAGCTAGCGGATTAAGGCCTAAAATTGCTGATGCTGTGAGCCAAAATACACCTCTTTTTCCTGTAAGCCGTGTGTATCAGGTATTTGTCTCGGCAATGAAAAGCTAATCCAAAGGTGATTGATTAAATATGTGGATAAAAATTGAAAGTTAGTGAAAGAGTACTTCCAAATGACCACTAAAGTTTGCTGATCACCAGAATAACAAGAGCTGTAAACTAAATATAGAAGCCTTGTTAGGCATGGTGGTGCACTACTGTAATCCCAGCACTCAGGAGGCCGAGGCAGGACGATCGCCATGAGTTTGACGCCAGCCTGATGTATATAGCAAGATCCTGTCTTCAAAAAACAAAACAAAACCTGAAGCATAACCAAGGGATTAAATTTGGAATCAAGATGTCTAATTCATCCATTAGTGGTCCCTATTTCTTCCTACCCCACCCACCCTAAAGCCCCTAGTAATTACTAATCTACTTTCTGTCTCCGTGTATTTGCCTATTTGAATATTTCAAACAAATGGAATTAAGTATTATGTGCCCTTTGGAATCTGGCTTTGTCCACTTAATGTAAGTTTTTATGGATCATCATGTAGTATTTTATACTGCAACGGCAAGCAGAAACACCAAAACAACACCCAGGATTTGAAGGCATATTTATTTTACATCGACGGGCACTGATTGAGATCATTCCCAAAATATCATGCCCTGAAGCCTCACGGAGGGAGACTTTTATGCGATTGCAAAGGGGAAATACAGAGGTAGAGAACTTGGCTGTCTTTGGTTCTTACAGTGTGCATCACAGTGACCAGCTGTGTATTACAGTGACCAGAACTTCAGTAAAAACTATTACCTGGGCAACTAAGAAACTGAAGTATACTGGCTGGGGGGCCATTTTCTGCCTTGAGATTTTAGTCCTTTTCTCTGTATGAAACTATCCTCACACACTCTCCTGATAATGAGTCTTGGGTTGCTGGTTCAGAAACAGGACCCGAAACAAGGATTCTTGTTCTAGTGTCTTCTTAGATGAGGGCTCTTTAGAAAAGGAGAAGCAGGGTTGACAAGAAAACAAGAAATAAAAATTAAAAAAAAAAGAAGAAAACAAGAAATAAGCGGGAGCCTCCACTCATCCTACAGAATTCATTTCCAGGTGTGGCCCATAACGCCAGCTTTGTGTCCCTCCATGCCAGTCTGTTACTGGGTGAGATCTTAAGGGGCAGGCAGAGGCATCATTGCCTCATGGGTGAAGGGGCTTCTGTTTTAGCCAAGGAAAATTCTCCAGAGAAGGAGGCAGCCGGATCACTACCCATCGCTAACAGCAGCTGGACTGTGGATACACAAAGTGCTTGTAACGTGCATATGGGCAAGGCGCAGGAGCGCTCGCCCACCCAGTGTTGCCTAGATCGTGTGTTTCTCACATGATGTTTACCTGACAAGCTTCTCCAGAGATCCTTTTTTCTTCTTGCTGTGAACTGAACCCTGGGCCTCACACTTGGTCTCCCACTGACCTATATCTCCAGTTAGTTTTTATTTTAAGACAAGGTCTTGCTAAGTTCAGGCTGGCTTTGAACTTGAGACCCTCCTTCCTCAGGCTGTCAAGTAGCTCGGGTTGTAAGGGTGTGCCACTGTTGTCAACCTCTCCAGAATGCTTGTTTTAGTTTTGTCTGTCTGTTTTTTGAGACAGTCTTGCTTTGTGGTGACCTTGCAGGCTGACCTTAAACTCATGGCAATCCTCCTGCCTCAGCCTCCCAAGTGCTGGGATTACAGGCGTGCGCCACCACACCTGGCTTTCAGAATTCTGATTAGTAACAATTTCTGGGAAGGTTTTATAAGAAAAGGGCAATGGGATGAGCTATATTCCCCACTGCTGCAGTTGGTTCAGCACCATAACTGATATTCATTATCTCCACTACCCTCCCTGGATTCCCCTCCACTTCAGCTAGCCCTTCTGCACAGGCAGTGACTTGACTGATATATGAACTGGGCACTCATCCCTAAGGGACTTAAGACCCTGGTTATCAGGCTGTGATTACTGCACTTGCCTGTTTAAATTTACAACTTCCCTGGGGAATACCAAGGACTGCTCACTGAATCTCCTGAGTACCCAGTAGATCCTCTGCCCTCATTATGTAGCACCAGCCTTCACCTCCTTCTGAGAGTGTGCACACTGATCTTCTGGCATTAGGAGCCCACGAGCCACCAGAGAGCAGCTACAGCTCTAACCCCTTGCTCTGTTTTCTGACTGGAGTATCCCACATCTGTCAGGACCTGTAGGCTAGTAGGGCCTAAAGTGACAAGAAGGAAACACAGATTCCCCAAACGTATCACTGTGGGAGATGGCGAGCAGGGCACACCTACTTAAAAAAAAAAAAAGCTGAATCTCAGTACCCAGGTACACTATGAACTGAGGAGATAGCACCGTACAGTGGGCAATGGTTTAAGGAGTTACCCACAGGTGTCATTTCTAAGGTGGAGGTCAGATCTCAGTGATTTACCAGCACCCAGTATCATGACTCTTACCAAACTGAGAGTTTCCCAGGGGTGTAGCATGTCCAGTGGATCCTACGGTCAAGTACCTTCTTGCTAGAAAGTGAGTCTCTTGGTCTGAGATCTCAGCAGCATGTGAGATCCTGTATCTGAACATGAGACATCCTCTTAGTCCTTGGATAATGGTGAGGCAATGTGAGTGGGAAAAGCAAACCCATACTTGCCAAAGCCAGTCCTGATGAAGGGTGCTCTTTGCAGTGGGAAGGGGCCAGGGTAACTGATGTTCAACCCAGCAGCTCTTTGGCCTTGTTGAGAGCCCATGTGTTGGTCTCTGTTATCTACAGGTCAGTCAATAGCAGTAGCACTACATTATCAGCATGGATCGAGTACAAGCTGATTGTCCCAGGCCTAGCCCCATCTCCGCCTCCAGTGCTACTGCATTCACGAGCCAGTTGTGCAAGAGCTAGGGTAACCATAAAGGCTGCCCGATATCTACAGGCCTAGGCATCCTGTCTGTTTGGCTGGTTAATGCCACACCTAAAGTGGAAACTCTTACGAGCATTACGTGCTATAAAAGATCCTCACACTATACACCCTCCCAAGGTACGTCCGCTTGCTTTTCTCCAGCCTTCCCCCTCTTCTTCCAGACCTCTGACCAAGAAGCTCGGTGAGCTGGCACTTGTCACTGTCCATAAGTGTACCCTTACCTTAGCCACCGCGGTCTCCAAAGACAGTTGATGACTAAGCGCACTGCCCGAACCCTGCCAAGGGGGAAGATGTTCCTTCCGAATCTCAAGCTGACCTACCCATGAACCAAACATGACTGTTTTTCTTTCTGCCCAGCAGTCATGGGGAACCACCCCCGAAGCCATAGCTTAGGGTTAAAGGAGAGGCATCGGCACAACAGTGGCAGATGACATGGGGGTCTCAGCCACCTGTTTGT